TTCTTCACGAGCACGATCGGAGATGACCAAGCACCGATACTTCTAGCAAATGTAGGGCTTTCAGTATAGACATTGAGGACTTGTACTATTCGATACCTCAAGATGAGCTGATGGCAAGACTTCAAAGCTGCATCGTGCAAGATAGTGATGAATTGTCTTTCAGCCTGAAGTGTGGAACTTCTATATCTAGTTTTCTAGAGTTACTTAGCTTCTACCTGAAGTTAACTTTTGTGGCTTGGAGTGGCAATATTTTTCTAGAGATCAGGGATATACATAGCTCTTCAGTAGCTCCGATTTTAAGCGAAATGTTTTTCGGAAAAATTAATGTAGCACTTCAAAATCATTTTTCAGGACTCCCGGTTCGCGTATTCAGATACGTCGACAATTTTCTTGTGATCACTACGTCCTCAGATTTTATGCGAGATGTCAATATTTTCAAGGTTTTTAAAGAAACAGGCAAGAAACTAAACATTTATTTTGAATTGCCGCGTCTAAATCAACTGCAACTTCTAGATCTTAACTTGGTCTTCGAACCCCAGCATGTTTGCTGGTATTATTGTCCCAGATCCGTAAAGCCTATACTAAATTACAGGTTGAGCCACTGTAAGCTGGTGAAGAGAGGTATCGTTGCTACGAGTTTGGGTTTTGCTCTAAAAATGTCCTGTCAACACAGAATGAAAATGAGCTTTCATATTCAAGTAAAGAAACTAGTAGAAGCAGGGTATCCTAATGTCATCACGTCCGTTTGTAACAACATGATTAAGAAACTTAAATTTCAAGGGAACCACTCGGGGCGTCGTGAAGACAGTAGAAAAGGTAGGAGGATATCAGTGATTCCTTACCTTCATAAGACTTCACATGAACTTAAGCAACTAGCTAATAGATATAAAGTCGATGTGCTTTTCTCAGCCAAAGGCAAACTGCAGTATATTTGTTCACGCATGCGCAGAGAGTTTCCGCAATGTCGCATGAAACACTGCAAGAGGTGCGTGAACTGTACAATGGGCGTTGTTTACATGACTCCTTTCAGCTGTGGTAAAGTGTATATTGGTCAGTCGGGAAGATGCGACAATGTTCGTCTCAGAGAGCATGATTCTTCTTTGAAATCTTTGGGTGTATCGCATCTCGCGGCTCATTGCAGAGAGTGCGGTTGTTATCCTCTTTTTCAGAATACTGAAGTGGTTTTTCGGTCAAAATAAATTAACTCGTCGGTTGACAGAAGCTTTTCACATAAGAAAAAGGTGGGAACAATGCGTCAGGCAGCCTTCGGTTTTGCTGCACGATAAAGAGTTTGTTTTTCTAGATTATGTTCTGAGATAATCTGTCTTCTTTTAACATGTGTTCTCGATGTGCCACGGATGCACTTTTTTTGCCTGCACACGCATGCGTCGTGTTTTTCAATTGCCTGTACATATATTCTGCCCTTTCTAATAAACAGTTAAGCTGCGAGAAAGCGCTTGTCCTCTCTTCCTGTCTGTTTTTCGTGCGCTTTAATTGATAGTTATACCATGCATATCCAACTAGCCCAACTTTCGATTCTGTTGCAGCAGGTAAGTGAGGCTTGTACTACAGCCAAACAGAAATGTTCGTTGTTTGTCTCATGTGTTGTGGATTTGTGCTCTAATCCTTTTTTCTATACTGGTTTTGCATCATCGGAACGCTTCACTATAATGTGACGAGTTGGAGACCTGTTCGAAGTGCGCTCCGAGAGTGTTAGCCTGGACTTCCGAACTCCCCCCTTGTGTGTTTAATAGAGGAAGTGAATGTGCTTTTGGTCCTGCCACCTTACCAACCACGTTCCAGACTCTCGCCTCATCTGCGTATGAGTTAATGCCTGATATAAATTTGTGCCAACTTTCCCTTCTCGACTGTCGGCGCGTCCTCCTTCCTTGAGGCTTGTTGTTCTTATAGTTCACAAGATTCCCGGCTGTACGCGAGTATCTAAAGAAGTCGGATCGACGAAAGAGGCCCATCATATCCTCGACATACATCATGACACTTTCATTCGGCATTGGGAGGCGCAACTGAATCACTCACTCGGCTCGTTCACGGCGATTGGGATTGGCCCAACTTGCCAGCAAATATCGACGAAAGTCGCTCCACGAGTAAAAAAGCTCAAGGTTTTCGTACCAAGTACTAGCGCCGTCCTCCAAGCTGAAATACACGTTCCTCATCTTGTCAAAGTCAGTCCAACCATTGTAACTGGAGACCCGTTCGAACTGAGCCAGCCAGTTTTCGACATCCTCCAAGATGGGGCCGCAGAACACCTTCTGCACACGTGGCTTCCACAGCTCATGAGGCAAGGCTTCAGCGCCTTCCAGTACGCTGGAGGCTGAAGCGCCTTCCCTAGCGTTCGGAGGTGTGACAGACGTCATCTCGGGAAAAGGTCCACGCTCAGAAGGTAGTCTTCGGAGTCTTCGGCTTGAGCGGTGAACAGGTGGTGTCACTGCAGGTACAGGGCTACCTGGAGGCGCTTGGAGCATCGGCTGGGGGTAACGCAGCAGCTCCACCAGTTGGCACGTGCTAGAAAAGGTTTTCAACTGAAGAACTGAGCCGGCGCGGAGAGGCCCCAAAAATTGGCAAGACTGCTGCTTCAATACTCAAAAACTAGCCAGAGCACGCGGTGCCCTAGAACATCGTCTTGCATTCTAGCAGGCAGCCATGGCTGGCGCTCGCCGTAACTAGCGGCCAAGTGGCAATATATAGCCAATAAAATAAAGGGGGTGGGGGGATAGCCGCAATGGCAGCTAAGCTGCTTGAGCATTGAACGCGTTATTCGATGGTCGCAAGATCGGTTCTGCCCACGACAAGTTATCTTTCATCCACTTTTCTTTCTTTATATTACAGTTAGGTTTAATAACTTCCCCAATACTTTTCTTGCATTGTTGCCTGCTAGATATCATTAATATTGTGTCTAATAAAAAACAAAACGAGCCATTAGGTGTACACTTTCGAGCTTCATATATATTCATAATACTACGCTCAACTCTCAAGTGTTATCGCCCCATTACTCGTGTTAGTGCTGCCTTGACGAAACACGTCGATTGACCAAAGAGCCATCAAAACCATTCCGATGTGATTACGCACACTGCGGGAACGTTAAATTGTTCTGGATCCTACGTGACCGCCAGTGATAAAGCTGGAACATTAGACGGCACATGTACAAATGCCGACATGCATCGCTGTTTGTCAGTTGATTGATGGTAAACGCTCCATTCGCCACTATCAGCTTCAATGTGTTGCTATATTGAGACTTCCTGTTTACCGGCCACAAGATCGGCCTTTTAGAGTTTTTTTTCGAACATCCAGTCCGCTCTCTTTATCTGCGTCATGACCACGTGATAACATATATTTTCACATGGGTCAAGACGTTAACGAACACAGTACTTCAAGACGAAACTGTTTGATGAACGCAACGTGGGGCCAGGAAATGGAAAGTAATACTAGAGCAGTACACACTAGCATTAATAGCAGCGAAGAGAGCGCCTGCCGTAGATCAACTGATGATTGTTTATACACACTGCCTTTTATACATTCCACGTCAAACTATCCAGCCTTACCCCCGACAGTCGGGTAAGCCCTATAATATTCAGAGTGTTCTGGCCATTGGCGCACTCTAAAAGAATATACTACAAAGGATTGCTTAACGCGTGGGTTTTAACGTCCCAAAACTACCATATGATTAAGAGAGACGCCGTAGTGGAGGGCTTCGGAAATGTTGACCACCTGGGGTTCTTTAACGTGCACCCAAATCTGAGCACACGGCCCTACAGCATTTCCGCCTCCATCGGAAATTCAGCCGCCGCAGCCGGGATTCAATTCCATCGGAAATCTACTACAAAGGAGAAGATGCTCTAAGACTGAGGCCCGACTTCGCGCATTGTTGGGGATTGTATGTGGCTTCAGTATTTCGTCCTTGTTTTGGGTGTTGCTGTTTGTGTATTAATTCCGTGAGCAATTACCTTTCTAAAGAGCTTGCATACGACGAAGAATTACAGGCCGATTTGCCTGCTCTTCAATTCCTCGTCGTCCCCTTTCTGAAGGATAAGGAAGATGTTAGCACTCTTCCAAGATAATGGTACCTTCACCATCAGGAGACACTTCGTAAACCGGGTGGCTAGTTATTCTACCACAATCTGTCTTACGTCTTTCAGCAGATCTGATGATACCTGATCTTCACCAGCAGTTTTTCCTCTTCGCATTCCCTCTAAGGCTTACTTGACGTCTGCCATTACTGGTGGCATGTAATCTGGGTTACTGTTAGTTCTTACATTATGGTCTCCCCGATGCTCTTACAATATTCGATCTCCTCATTGTAATTTATCGCGTGTTTACACGATGTTTTCAGAGGACAATAGGGTGAAGAGTTAAAATTACCAAATAATGGGGAGTACCTTAGTAATCTGTGCCCTGTAGACGACTTTGCGGAACAAAGTGCACTTCACGATTACTAAAATAAGTGCACTTCCCGATTACTAAATTAGACGAAGAAAGGTGGATCCTAAATTCATTTTTGGAAAATGAATGTAATGTACCAAAACCTCGGAAGCGAGCACTGCTTCGCTTGAAGTTGAAAAGTCTACGTTTACTTAGGACAGGCAACATTTCGATTAACTCTCAGTATTGTGGTCACGCATAATAGTGTGAATTGCACAAAAATACCACAACAGTGTAAGATCTAAATGTGTTAAATTTTTTTGTGCTCCATTAAAATGTTCGGTGGGCACTATGCCTCAGCTTCACCTATTGCGATGCTAGTACTGCCAAGTCATGCTATAAACAATGCCCGTTTCTGCTCTCATAAATTGCGTTTACCAGGTTTAAGCTATTTCATAAATCATGTTATTTTCTTTGTGTATTTATCCAGATAAGGATACTTCACTGATACTGTTAATTTTTTTATAGTGCCATGGCGCCATTGCATATGAATTTTAGAGCTGAAAAACACGCGTTAAATGATGGTGCTTGGAGAGACTTTCTTTTCAAAAAGGGCTACTCACGGTAAGCGTCCTTTCCCCATCCGGTGACGACGCAAGAGGTGCCCTCGAAGACGTCTTCGAGCTTGGGCAGGCAAATGGGAGAGATATGTGGTGCAAAAGTGACCGGTCGAGTGAGCTCAAGGAGTGCGATATCGTTCCAGAGAGAGTTGTTTCGGAAGTACTGGTGGATGTAGATGTTGCCCACGTCATAGTCCTCGTGCGGGTAGAACTCTTTCATTGACTGCGTGTCCCACTCACCCAGGCGTACCTTCAGGGGAACGCGGTCGGCGCCACTGCAAGGTAAGTGATTAAATAGGACTACAGTGCTCGGCATTCATCGACATGATTTTTGACCTCTATGCTACCAGAGGACGAAAAAATTAGTTTTGTTACTGGTTCTATCCTATAAATTAATTTTTATTGCCTCAAGCGCATCTGAAGTAGAAGAGTAAGTGAAAGATGAGATCATTTCAGGTTATTAGTCGAAAAAATTAGAAAAAAATGCAGTGCAGAAGCTTAAAGAAGGGCAGTGTAACAAATATGAATGCCGCGTCATCACAAGGCCTTCAACTCATTCTCATAAATAATCAGTCGGCACAGTCAGAAAACCTCATTGCTCAGTCACAAGGCTCTGACAAACTTTTTTGGCAAGAGGTGGTGTCTCAGCGTGAGGCACAGCCTGGCTACGAAGATGGATTGACAACCTTTCTAATAAAAATTACCTTTTGTAAGATAATTGATAAGTAGGTTAAGAACTACCACTTGAATAATATTAATAGTGTGAGATCAGGTGAAATGCGATACCGGTACAGCTCCCTAAAATGAGTCACTCTGTTTTTGTGAAGTTTGTGGAATTCATTGATGATGAGCAAAATGGTAAGTCTCTCCATCTTGACAATGTGTACAAGTCCGTGGATCAGTGACAGTCAGATTGTGTCTATGTGTAGCATAAGTGGGGCGTATCCCGAGCCGCGACTTTGGTAAAATTTTATAGTGTGTTATTGTGGGAGGACTTTGCTTAGTTGTGGCTTCACCAGGGGGAGTCTGTTGTCGACTTGCTTGTCCCTGTCCCAGAAGGTACAGCTCATTGTGCCTTGAAGTGGATGTGTCGCTGTGCTTGATTGACGGTAAAGGTAGCAATGTACCCGAAGCAAACCTGCTTACCGTGCCTCACCTTCACCACATCCCAAGGCCACGAGACTAGCGTGCCTCTCTGGCTACCAGCACTGCTCTACTTCACTCGTTCTCGCCACACTGCCGAGCTCTGCTGAGCGATACAACGGCTCACGGTGAAGCCTTGCCTAAGAACAGCATGGATGTTAAAAATGTCTCCGCATGCAGAGAAAAACAAATTCTGCATTTAATTAAGTCACAACAAGTGTCAGCAGGAACCAAATTGGTTAAAGGGCAATTTGAAAAACATGATTAGATTTCACTTCGTTATCACGCTCGCCCAGGTCCTGCCCTTTCCTTCTCATCTGATTTTTAAGGCATTCCCGTTCCTTACAGTGTTGCCTAACATTTTTCTAGCTTCTTCGAGTGCATCTACGCATGCTCTTCAGATACAGTGCAGCCTTTTTCACATTAGGAAGCTTATTTATTCCTAACGTGGAACATAATGGCTGCGAAACACACTAGCTTACATTCATATACATGAAGAGAACAATGAGGAGCCTTGGCGCAGATCTTCGCTACATTGCTCTCTACTTCAAAATATGATATGCAAAACTAATACTATTTGCATTACTTTACCGCGACATCATTAAAAGAGCTCGTTTCGTGAAATTCCGGCGTGAGTGTGTTTCGTTGCTGGTGAGCAAAACATCATGCCCGTAACCGTAACTTCGAGAAATATTTGTATAACAAATATTTATAGCCCCAGATTTGAGGTAATATCGAAACCTGGCCGTTTCTATGATAAATAGGTGCTGTACCACACACCTGCGCGTCTGCTTGGAAATTCAACAAAAGTAACTTCGCCTCCATGGCAATTGAGTGAAAATATTTTAAAAACAAACATTGGCGTCATTCGTACAAGCTTGGCAATATAACAAAATAATCCAGTACTATTTGGTACATATGCATAGAACCATGGGGCATTAGAACTGGAAATTATAACGACTTTATGGATTAAAACTGGCCACCACTACAAAAGACACATACGTTACTGCGCATTTTTCCTGCTGTGGGTCCACTGCGATGCTTTAAACGATGCACATATTTCACCGTGGTTTTAAGGATGCTATCCATTAGACAAATAGCAGCCATATGCAACAGCTTTACTGACATAAGCCACCTTAAATGGTGAAATACTCCAATACAATTGATGAAGTTGAAACTTTTTCGGAAAAGATCACACAATAAATGTATGCACTATGTGGTTGAAGTACGCTCTCGGCACATTATATCACAATCGCCCTGAACTCTTGAAGGCGAAGCTCAAGGGTCTCTCAATCTTTTCCATTTGTTTTGGCACCTAGTCCTTGCGATCGTGTCCTATTGAAGTGTGTGGGATTCGCCAACATACTGTGGGCACGGATGATCAACAATATTTTTGGAATAGTCTTCTGAATAAATGCAAACCGTGAAGAAGCTACAAAAGGTAAAACATACTGCTGCGATCAAATCCATATATGCAACGGGAACGTAGACGACGCGGGAAGTTTTCGCCAGGTCTGGAAAAACGTGGTACGGGGAAGCATGGCTGCATCACAACGAGACCCCATTTCCTATTGAGCTGAGCGACCCTTATTGTTTCTCTTCATATCTGTAATTCCCCCATCTTTTTTTAACTCTCTACATGGCTTGTTTATTCTTTATATTTCTTCATTTCCTTCTTTATTCCTTTTCCCTCATTTTCATATGTCATGCGTTGCTTTCTCTGCTCCTTTTGACCCCGACTTCCCTTGGCATAGGATACTACAGTATATCGGAGGCTGCCTTGTATGTTGTCAGAGTGACTGCATATTCTAGTGGCAACATGCTTACCTTTATATCTCGGGTTTAAATTCCGTCAACTCCAGAGTTTTTTTTTTTCTTTTTGACAGAGTTCTTTGTGTGAATATCTGTTTCCTTCACCTCGACATCACTCCTTAGCTTCATGCCTCCCCTTTCCTACATGGTGAGAAATCGTCGCGTATGTTCATTGAGCGAAGCAGATCAAGAGAACACGTGCAGGCCCTGATAACGCCTATTGTAGATCACGAAATCTTTCGCAGAGCTAAAACAACTTCACTTTTATGTCTTTTACGACGCATTATTTGATATCACGCTCACAAACAGTAGGATGCCGGTGAAAATATGCCAATGGTTTCAATATAATTTTCGTCCCCAATCCTTTAACATGCACTGTATGCAAAATATTAGAACACGTCGTCCTCAAACACATTACGTCATTTCTTGAGAGCGAAAACACTTTATCGTGGTATCACCACGGCTTTAGGCGAAGTTTAGCTACTGTAACGCAGCTAGTAGAACTAACGCACAATATATCAAACTGTCTTAACAATCAGAAACAAATTGACCTAATCTTCCTAGACTTTTTGAAGGTCTTCACAGTAATTGTTACTTGGGTTAAAGATTACCTAATTAATTGCATGCAGTACGTAGAATTCAACAAGACATCCGCAATCACAACAATATCATCAGGAGTTCCTCAGGCATTTGTTTTGGCTCCTATTCTCTTTCTTATTTTTAATAATGATTTACCATCACGAGTACCAGTTAACATAAAACTATTTGCAGATGACCGTGCGGTTTACAGCGAAATTAGCACAATTCAAGATAGTGAAGCTCTACAAAACGCCCTGTCGAAGGGATGCGACTGGTGCAAGGAGAATCAAAGGCTGTTGAACTCCAAAAAGTGTTCACTCCTGACTTAAATGAGAAAAAGAAACATTTCCGACATTCTTTATAATATCAACAATAACCCCCCAGGTAACTAAGCATAAATACCTAGGAGTTACCTTAACCACCGATTACAGATGGGAACCGCATATTAACAACATCACTTCTTCAGCATTGAAACGCCTGTTTATGCTCCGACGATGACTGCGACAGGCCCCACCTTACATAAAGCTGTTGGCCTACACGACCTATGTCCAGTCCGTACTTGAATATGCCAATATAGTCTGGGCCCCTTTTGCTAAAGAATTAATCAATAAGTTGGAAGGTGTCCAAAGAAAAGCGGTAAAAAAACTAGGTTTATCTTCAACCAATATAAAATGAGCGACTCTCCTATAAAGCTACTAAAACAAGCTGGCCTGTTCACCCTTAATAATTGAATCAAGATAGCCAGAATAAAATTTTTGTATGAACTAATTCACGGTCACCTGAAATTAGAGGCCTCAGACTATATATCTGTTGATCGAACAAGACTAACCAGACTAAAACATCCCCAAAGGCTAACAGAATACTGGTTCAACAAAGACAGTTTCAAGTACGCTTTCTTTCCATTAGTAATATGGGATTGGAATTCTCTAGGCAACTCAATAACTGGTACCACGAGTTTAACAGGGTTATTAAGGCTGGTAGAAAAGAAAATTGACACGATGTGGCTATAACTTGTTATCTCCGAGTGAATATTTGTATCAACTCATTTGTGTTTCATCTCATCACTAAATCATAAATTTTTGAAAAGATTTGTAATGAAGAGGTTTTTTATGTAACCTGTAATATCAAAACTTGTACGGTATGTTACTTTTGTAAAATGTATGCGTTCCTTGCTCATACTTATTCAATGAAGAATGTATAATGTGTGCTACACTCCACCGACTGTGTAACCCCACATTTCTTGAAAATCTGTCATGTACTATGCCTATGCCCTTCCTACGAGAATCCCGTGAGGGATTGGCAGTATGTTTAAATAAATAAATAAGTAACTAAATAAACAATCGTTATTGCAAAATCTATTTACAAGCGTTACGATTTCATCCGAAATATACATTATCACCCAATCAAATTTCACTACTTTTCTAGGTGTCACATTAGACCTTCAACTCAAATATAGCATTCACGTGAATGCTATCATCAAGAAGACTGCTTTTGGCATCCGCATACTCATTCGCACAAGGCATTGTTTTCAGCAACACATTTTAAAATCACTTTAGTATGTTTTCATTAACAGTCACTTAACCTACTGCATTTCATCCTGGGCCAATACCTACGCCACACACCTAACATCTCTCATTCACCTTCAGATAAGAGCAGTCCGAATTCTCACTCATAGTTCCTACACAGAATCAGCAGCACCCCTCTTTAGCACTCTAGAAATTCTACCGTTCATTTCCACCTTTCAACTCAAACTTGGAATTTTATTAATCAGAAGTAGAGTAGGTGACATTCCCACTGACATACTTCCCCTCACAGATCTTCACAATACTACTAACACACGGTTTTCTAAAAATAGTAATCTTCTGCATCCAAAAGTAAGCACTAACTACGACAAATTGACAGCCTTGTTTTCTGCAATTTCTTTCTGGAACTCACTATCATCAATTATTAAATCAAGCCCCTCATTACATTGTTTCCGACGGCATCTAAAACAGTTCTTACCAACAACATGCGACACCTGAATATATATGTATGTGTGTATATATATATGTATGTATATATATATGTGTGTGTGTTTAAATACGGTTATATGCATTTATGTGTACGTGTATAGGTTCTGAAGTGACACTGTATTAGTTAATGATATGTATGTATTATGTTATTGTCATTTATTCCAATTAGTTATCTCCTGTTTTGCCACTTACATGTAAATATTTTGAACTACCAAAAGATTCAATAATTATTTTCATTACGTTCATTTTGTTTTATTCGCTTGCTGTTTTTTTCCTTAGTTTGCAATCTTTGTTCTATATTTTTTTACATGAATTCACAGCAGGTGCCCCTGACAGTATTTACTTTAGGACCTCCTTCTGTATTATATCAACTTTTTACTTGCACTGTATTGTACCGAATGGAGATACCGAACTACACCTGTTTCAGCACACCATAGTTGGGCGAGTTTGTTTCTCGTAGCACCGATGTAATCTAGCTTAAAGGACTCACGAGAACAAAATAAACATTATGCGAATTGTTATTTTGTAAATGCAGTGCAATCTTTTTATATTTTTCATACAGCTGATCTGCGCACTGTTCCCACTTCGCATCGAATTATCTTGATGTAGAGTGATGGAGTAGATTGCGGAAAATGAGCCTCAAACTAAATTTCAATGTTTATCGTGATGTCAGTGTTTCTCTTATGAAATGACATCACTGATTGGAATTTCGCCTCACGGGTGGCTTGGCAGGCCCTACCTCAAATATTACCAGTTTTATATCGACTAAACTATCCAACATTTGTGCGACTGAGAAGCTTGTATTTCCTTGATAACTTTACATATTCTTTCACTGAAATGACATGGGGCCACAGGCTTTTGTGAGCACAATTTCTTTCACGAGCTATAGATGGGTGTCACAGTTAAGACAGGTTCCCCTCAAAAGACTTACTTAAACCGGGCGACGCAGTGAGCAACAGTGAGGACATAACGGCTGGCGATCAGGGTGCCCCCGCACTCGAACTTCAGGATTTCACTCTCGTACTTGAGAACAGCAGCCTTGGGAAGAAAAAACAAAAACGCGCATTGGACTCGTATAGCCAAGAGAGGATGCTTTGTAGGGCAAGCTGTGGCCTGATCTCGAGTGCTCCTTCGCGCCTAAAAACAATGTAGGGTGGCTTGAAATACGATCGTGACACGAAGACAGGGACAGCTAAGACACGGACAAGCGGTTATGTTTTCTGCTACAGGATTTAATTTCATGAGGCCCGCTCAAGCGTTTTGTATCAAGAATTCACCCAATCAACAACTTAGGCAAATATAAGAGTTGTTAGCTTAGCAGTTGGTTGTGAAGCAGTTAAATCGGCGTTCAACGCGACGGAAGGAGCACAAAACAAACGCCAATTTCGACAGATTTTGAGGAATAAAGGTCTCTTCGCCGGTAGGGTAGAGCAGAAAGAACACAGGATTAGTAACTCTAGTAGACAAAACAAATTCACGTCAGACAAACGTTCCTTATTTGCACACAACGCGCGAGCTTTCCCTTCTGGCCGCACTTCAGTGTCGTCTACACAAGTTTTAAGACACTGCCGAGAGAAAGTGCACAAAGACTGAAGAATCTGCACAGATGCATCAGAAGAAACAGCACCACGATGAATTTGGCAGCGCAAACTGCTATAGGATCACAACACTTGTCACGCGCAGCGCCGTGGTTGTCCGCAGGCACCGGTGTGTGTCTGTAACCATTATTGCACGAAATAGAAAAACTAAAACAAAATATATGTGGGGATATGGTGGGATTCTAACCCGGGTCCACTGCATGCCAGCCCAGTATTCTATGCTCAACCACACTAGTGCTTATGACTCATTCGCAAACTTGCCTTAGGCAGGCTTGATGTCGGCAAAGTTATCGTGTTAATATGAGCACACAAAGCGTTTTAGAGTACCAAAGGAACAACCAGGCAGAGAACAATTCGAATCGCATAATAATTGGGTCGTCCAATGCTCCAACACATTACAAAAATTTGTTCACTTAATAACGATGGCACATACCCACTTCAGGAGTTATTTTTCGTCTTCAGCTACTGAATGCAACACAAAATTTGCAGAAAACTCGTAAGTGTTCAGAGGACACCACGCTTCTTCAAAGAATGACGAAGAATAGAGTAGTGAATGCCGGCCTACTAGCCAGAAATTGCTAATATTTATGGCGTAGTGCCTACCTAGCAAGTGTGCTTCTAGCATTACTCAAAGAGTGTTAAGAAATTGCTCTGAAAGGCCACCTTTAATGGTTTCACTGTGACTGTGCTCTACAAGTAACGGATTCCACAAGTAATGGCACTAAACATCTACGCATTGTTCATGCGGACACTTTAAATTGGTAGCAACAAATAGAAGCAAACTCCCTCAAAGCAGGAAGCGCCTCAGGATTGTTACGCCGGTTTTGCAATATTTCAAGAAGGCGTAGGAATAAGGTACTAATGATGTACTAACTTTCTGTACGCCATATGGTGGGGTTTGGTTGCGTTGTTTTTTCCGGAAGTGCTGAGTACAAATAAGACCTCCAATATTGCTAGAAACACAAGCTCTGCGGCTGTGTCTTGGAGTTCCTAGGTGTGCTGCGGTTAGCGTGCTTTATTTCGAAGCTCCAATACTAGATTCTGAGAGTAAACACTCGACAGAAGTCTGTCTGGTTGGGTATGAAACTGGGAGATGATTTAGACTCCAACCAAAAGTTTTGAAGAAACCCGACGTTTCGAAGCCGACTTGGTTCCTCCCTCAGGGGTGACTGCAGGGACTACGTAGTAGCAGCGTCTTCAAAGCACTTGCGGGGCGGATAATGACTCTCTCTCTCTCTCGTTTTGCCGTGGAGCGCAGTCAATGTGTATACACTGGGGAAAGGGCTCCAAGAGAGCGGTTGATCCTATGGGCTGTCCTCTGTATGTGCCACGACTCGAGTAATAACCTTCCCCTTCAGTTCGGCTCGCTTTCAAGATTGGCCGTCGCTTCGAAATTTATCCGGCGATCCAACATTTAAGCATGTTTAGCGACTGCGCTGCGCTCTTTGTTGAGCTTCCACACATAATTGGCATGTTGCTTTAGTCGTTCCAGTAGATTTTTAGTCTCGCCGATATACGAAGTGGGGAACTTGGCACACGGAATTTTGTAAACGACACCGGGGGTCCGTTCAAGTGTTTGCCGGTCTTTCGGGCGTGGGAGGAGCCAGCCTAGCGTACACGAAGGCCCGTGCGTGATGCGAACCCCTTCATTTTTGAATATGCACGCCAACATCTCGCTGGTTTCCTGAACGTATGAGACTGGTACATGTTTTGGGGGGCTGCCAACTAAGGTTGATGGGGGTTTTTGTATTCTCTGTTGCTCTGCGCGGCGGGTGGCGGCTCGATGGAAGTTTTTTTGAATATCCGCTTTTTCTGAGGTCCGCAATTACGTAGGCCTTATTTTTCTTTTGCTCCGTGTCATTGAAGCACAAGTTTTTAGCCCTCTGGAGTAGCGTGGTCACAACTGAGGCCTTGTGGCAGGCGGAGTGGGAGGAATCAAATTAAAGGTAGCGGCCAGTGTGCGTTGTCTCTCTGTGAACGGAGAACTGCAGGCCGTTGCGCTTTCTTGCCACCTGGACGTCGAGAAAAGGCAGTCAGTGGTCGCTTTCATACTCGGTCGTGAATTGTATGGCTGGGTGCACGGAATTTAGGAGCTGTCTAAAGTTTTCAACTTCAAATAGCACATAAATTTCGTGCACCCCATTGACCACTGAAGTTTTCAACTTCAGACGTCTTCATGACGCAAAACCAATTGTCCATATAATGGAGAAAAAGCTTGGGTCGCGGCGAGAAGGAGTTGAGTGCTTTCTCTTCTAAGTACTCTATGGTCAGGTTTGCCATCGAGACGAAGATGAAAGCTCCCATCGTGGTTTCACTGTTCGGCCTGAAAATAGTTCTTTTGTAGGAGAAGTACGTACTGGACAGGTAGATCTCCAAGAGATGGCAGAGCTCGTCAACCAAAAAAAGGTCCTTTCACTAAGGCTTGGGTCCCCATCAAGCGCAGAACGGGCAGACTTGACAGCTAAGGGAACTGGCACATTGGTGAAGAATGCAATGACGTCAATTGAGGCCAGGCTCTCACCATCGTCGAGGCTCACATCTGACGCTAGCTGCACAAAGTGGCTGGACACACATGAGTTGGTGTCTTCTGGGTTATGCGGGCGAAGATTAGGTGTAGAAATTTTGACACGGCTCGGCCCAGTTTCATACACAGACAGGCTTTTGTCGAATGTTTGCATTCAAGTCAATCAGCCAAGACTTCGGACACGATACCATGCAGCTCGTCAAGCGCTACATACGCAATTAGGAAGGCATCTCAGTCTTCAGGACTCATCACGACTTAAGCCGCACCCGCAAAGAAAGGAAAGTTGTTCCTCAAAGCCTGCGCCTAAAGCGACCTGTCTTGACCCCTGCAGGCTTGGAAGTCGACACGAGAGTCAAACAACGACTGATCAACGCCCTCCTTCATAAAATAAACGCCTCTTGATGGAAAAAAGAACTGGACTTGTTTTTCGCCAAGTGTCAACTTGAGCACCGCATCTCTGAGTTGATGTCTGCGGTCTACGCGTTCGCGGACTCTATTGCGGCATCGACGGCAAAAAAATCACCGGACCGCTCAGGATAAGAAACTCGCCTACCTGTTTGACCGGAGTTTTAACCAAAGCATCCGAAATTCCAGGTTTGTCACCAATATTTCATCTCGTCTACTCACTGGTCGGGAAACTTCAGCTCTGGCAAAGGGACATGGCTATAAGCACCCTGCAATGCAGTTTTAGGAACATGTCGCGCTATCTGGCGGCCCAAACAATAAGCTTGAATGCGTTCGCGCACGCAGGCCAGTCTTCACTGCACATTGTTGTGCCACAGACATGTTCCTCGTTCGGGAGCACGTCTCACAAGATCGAGCCCTGTTTCGACGAACCGTCTCCCCCCCCCCCCCCCCTCCCAGCGCCGCCTTCCGTGCAGAAGAACCGTGCAGTTCCGGGGATAGCGTCGCTTCCTCCGCCGGACCACTTTGCAGTTCCGGGTATGGCTACGTCTCCCCCTCCGAGGCCGAGAACTGGTCTGAGAGAATGGACCAAAGACGCTATTTAAGGCCGAGCCGGCCCCATGTTAGAGAGATTTTGCCCCAGCCGACGTTGTCGCGCTGGCCGGCTATGTACAAACGACAACCTGCTACAGTAAACGCTCCTTTTGTTGCTGTTTTCCAAACGGATTGCTTCCCTGTTTCACCTTCGGGCTAAGGCTTCATCGAAGTCCACTCGACGGCTCGCCGCTCTTCGCCACCGCTACCATCGCGACAGAGCAAATTCGTAACAGTGATTGGCAGCTACGGGATACGATATCCTACGTTTGGCACGCCGGATCAGACCCCTGGAAGCTCGAGCACGACCGACCTGATATTAGCGTTTGAATACGCTGGGGTACGCTACCACTGTTCTCATCGTTCGGCAAGCTGGGACAAGCAACCCCGGATCTCAACATTGGCAAGTTGGACCGGATCCCTGCAGGCCTGACGACACCCACGGCACTGTTCGAAGGCAGCCAGGAATTGGACCATCGTCGGCTACTTTGGTTGGGTGAGTGCCCAACGTTTACGGTTCATTTCGCCAGACCTCTCTAGCACAGGCAGATGTTAGGAGAGCGTTTTGTGTTTTTTTGTTGTAATTTAAATATTCACCTACTTTAAACCACGAGATTAGTTTTAGAGTACGGTGAATATCAGTAGTAGAGCATCACGAGGGACGACATCGCGATGGAGCAGTACCTGGTGCAGGACCTCCATGAAATTTGTGGAGCCATGAGCATTTCCGCCGGATCCGCTAAAACAAAGGAAGCGATTCTCGAGGTTATGCGGGCAGAAAATGTGACTGCCGATGAGGCTGACGAGTTTTGGGAGCTCATTTGTGAGCAAAAGCAGAAGGCCGAGCAAAGCCGCGAAGAGCTCGAAGCTCAAAGGCACGAAAAATGGAAAGCCGAGGAAAGTCGAAAAAGGAGAGA